TTAAATTTCACTTAATTAAATAATTTTTCTGGTAATTTAAAGTAAACCATATTTTTTATGCAATAAATCATGATCTACCAAAAATCATAAATAAATAAATAAATAAAAAATAGTAGTATGATATCCTTTCATTCATCTTGTCAACCAAATGAAGTTGTCATAACAATTTTTTTCATTAAGTACACATTTATTTATATATAAATTTATATTATATGCGAGTTGTTCACTTTAAATTTTGCACAAAATCTACTATACAACCACCATTAAAAGTTACAACATATTTATTTTTATTTAATAGGCCATAAATCATATTATATAATTAAATAGGCCAAAAAATGAATTCAGTGAATTTTAATGATCATTTAATTATAGAGTATAAAATAATATTATATTATTTAATAGGCCAAAAATTGTATTATATTATAGTATGTTCTTGAGGTAAAAAATGTACTTGATGATCATTTTTTGTTGTACTGCTACTTATAATGAAAATCAAATTGTGGCAACACATACCTAATTAAAAAATAACATAGTGTGCACTAGATTCTTATTAATAAAAACTATAGTATACTATATGTTATTAAATTAAATCTAAAAGATATATATATATATATATATATATATATATGCATCTCATGATATAAAGAAAGAAAGAAAGAAAGAAAGAAAAAAAAAAAGAAAGAGAAAAAGACATTCTTCTAAATGATTGTCACAATATACAACATTAATCCAGATTGACATTGGTTTATATTCCATTATTAGAAGTAAGAAAGAAGGAGAATTACACATCTACATGAAAACATATTATGGATTAAATTACAACATGAAATGTAAAGTTTTGTTTTTTTTTGTAGAATTTTTAAGAATAAAATATAAGATATATTTTAGATAATGCATTATTTTTCTTTAATCATCTGAAATAAGACCAGCCATTGCTATTGTCACAGGCACATATCAAAGTGCAATTACAAATACCTTATAATATGTTCTATTGTGTTGGAAATATATGCAAATAATAAGAAAAAAAATTAATGTATTTATAAAATTAAATATTTTCTTAAACAGGATTTTAAAAATATAATTTAAACCATTGAGGTCTCTGGTTGTTTTTATGATTATATATACATATTTACATAAATTTAAATGTAAACCAATTTGAGTATATATAGATCATTAACTTAAAAAATGTAAATAATTTTTTACAATGTATGATATACTTTAAATTATATCACGAGATTATATATATATATATATATATATATATATGTATATTTATACTTGTAACCGAATCCATCTATAAACTTTAAATTTTGACCTATAATTATTGGTACTTGGATAAAAATTGCAAAGAAAACTTACACTATTTTATTTTAAATATCTCTATAGTTTAAGAGTGTCATATGTTATTTAGTGAATAACCACATGATTACTTAGTGAATAACTCCTAATTTATTTAGTGAATAATTACATAATCACAAAATAACTCATTTTTCTTTGATTTCGAATCTACAAATATATTTTAGTTTTAGAAATAAATATACAAAATAATGCTACGAAATTGATGTTTTACATTTAGAAATTATGAATATTTAATTTAATTTAATTTGATTTTTTTTTTGTAATTTAATAACTTTGAGAATATAAAAACTCATAAAGCTCTCTTTATTCTCAAAAAATTTATATTCTTAATGATTTTATTCTGAAGTTTAGATGATATTGTAAGAATGAAGATTGGCTGTTTTGAAAAGTCATATATATATATATATACACACACACACACACACACACACATCCATAAAAGAATTGTTGTAAAAAAAGAAAAAGTAAATATACATAAAAATATAAATATGTATATATATGTATATATATATATATATATATATATATATATACATATATATATATATGTATATATATATATATATATATAGACATAAAGACAATATACATAAAAATATTATCATTTTGATTAGTTTCTGGAAAATTATTGAATCTTATTCTATAATAGAATTACATGATTTGTTTATGAAGGATTGAATAGAATTACAGACACTTCTGAAATAGAAACCTACTTACAGTTCAGTTTCTACATTTTCAAATGTAGATGTACAAATTAAAGTCAATATAAATTTACACGTGTGAGGAAAACCTTCATTGAATCTTTTAGTGTAGCACATAAAAACCACAGTAGAAAAGAAACAATTTATGTAATTCTTTTATACTTTTTAAAATAAATGAAAGAACTCCTCTTGGTTTATGTAAAAAGGTTAACTTATTTTCAAACCCAATTCAAGTCCAAGTAGAGATGTGATGATCTTTCCTTTAACCAACAATCATAAAAGTACAAAAACAAAACAAGGTCAATAAGAAATAAAAATTAAAAATAATATTCTAGCACAAATTTTCAAATGGAAAGATAACATACAATGATTTGTCCAATTGATCTTGTCCCAAAAAACAAACAAAACAAATAAGAATAAAATACGAAACGCATCAATAATATGGTCATTAGAATAATGTAACTAATCATATCCACCTACAAATCCAACCAGGCCTATGCATCCACAAAGAGGGTTTGCTTGCTCTATTTGTGGATCATCTTTTAATGGTAAAAGGGAGTAAGGAACAAAGGAAGGAGAACGGTGAAGAGGAGGAGAATCCATCCAACATGAGAGGTGAGCAAAGCATGAGAGCAAATCCAATCTTTGCAATAATCTTCTTAATCTTCATGAGCTAAAAAATCTTTCTTTTTTGTATCTCCTCTGCAGTGGATGATTCTCACCATTGGCTCCATCATGCTCCCACTAAAATTCTGGGATTTCTGGCTTCGTGGTCTTGCATAATCAGTGTCACAATCCCCCCACACACACTTATTGCATAGCAAAATAAACAAGTGGTAATTTGCCTTTCTTCCATTGTTTCTTTGACACAGAAGAATTGTATTTGAAGAGGAAAATTTGACATGTATATATAATAGTAGAAAATGAATGATGATCATAATATAGTAAGAATAAAATAAGACGTAGACACACAAGTTTTGGAATAATTTCATTACCAGTGTGTTATTCAAGCTTTTTGTACTCAAGACTTTTGGCAGTAGTTGTACATCACTGTGTGTAGTATTAGGGGCAAAGGAAGAAAAGCTTAGTGGGTGGGTGTGGGTGGTAGGGAGAGGGGTGTTACTAGTGTGATAGAGAAACTGTAGTGTCTGTGTGTGTGTGTGTGTGTGTGTGTTTCTCATCATCCAGACACATTAACTTCCTTGCTTGCTTTCCCTGACTTTTTACAGTCTTTTTGTACAGATTCACTTGCTGGCTTTCCCTGTGATTGTTGTTGAGCAAGCGGAAAGCAAAAAGAAATCCTGTCTGAGGAAGGGCATGGCTATGATGTGGTCGGCTTCCACCATATGGGGGACACAAGAGAACAGAAGGGAACCAAAGGGGGAACCTTAACAAACTAAATCAAACATTAAAATTAAATAAAATTAAATGAGATGAAAGAGCAGATGGGGAGGGAAGAAGGAAAGGCCGAGATACAACTCATACTGTCAATGATGCAATTGGGTTGTACTGTGGTCTCTCTCTCTATATCTACAAGACAATGGGGCAGACAGTCTGCAGTCACAAGGCACCTCTGCTTGCTAAACTGGTAAACCCTAAAATCACCATTACAAATAGTAATACTGATAATAATAATAATAATAATAATAATAATAACAACAACAACAATAATAATAATAATCACCACCACCATAAAAAGGAGGACATGAAAAAAGATGGGGTAAAGGATGGGTTTGAATAGAATTAAGCATAATAAGCTCTTGGTTGAGGATTTGGGCACCAGTACGGGCAGTTCCCTTGGAGGAATACCACGAGACTATATATACATTTATATATTTCTGTCCATGCGTGCGAACAAGTGAATATCTACTAACCTGCGTCATGAACAATAGCCACATCATTGACTACATTTTTTAGAGTATGAATAAGAACCAGGTCACTATTCGATCATAGTACAGTCAATCGTTTTTGAAGGGAAACTTTCAGCGGTGAGCAACGCGGGTTCGGAAATGACTGCAGTTGCTCAGGCTTCCAAGTGACAAGGATTTCACCATACACAAGTTTTCGACACATAGGAAGAGACACATCAACTGCTTCGGTTCTAGGATGAACCCAGGGGGGAGATAAGCAGAAAAGAAGAAGAATCAGAAGAAAACGAAGAAGAAGAAGAAGAAGAGGAGGTGAGGAAGTGAAGCTCGGAGTGGACACACAACCACCACTGGGAGCAGGTCCACACACAAACACAGTCACAGTCACAGGGTGGATCAATCGAGTCCATGAGACGACGAACGCAGAGCTTGAACCCAAAGCAAGGTGGCCTCAATCATTTCGAGGTTAATATTAGACACGAAGACAGGTGGGATTGGATAAATAGTGAAGCATGTGCAGGATGCTGCTAGTGCTGGATGGGGGCTCTGCAGATGGGGAGATATAGCAAAGGGTAGAAAACAAAATAACATAAATACATGCATATATAAATATATAAACATATATTTATATAAATATATAAACATATATTTATATAAATATATAAACATATATTTATATAAATATATAAATATATATATATATATATACAGTCATATAATTTGTAGGTTTGAGGGCGTTAGAAACCACCCTCCCAACTGCAAACCTACCCGCGGGAACATTGAAAAGGCTGAGAGACCCCGTATTCTACGCCTCGCTATCCGCTATGACCCAGAGTACAGCCCGATGCCGAGCCCAGGCTGCAGTTACGGGTGCAGTCGGGTCGACGCGCCTGCGGCCGACCGCAGGTCGCCCGGCGTGGCCGCGCCAGGGTCGGGTCGCGCGAGGGAGTCGCTCGCGATGGCGCGTCTCGTCACGACCCCGCCGCAAGCAAGCAAGTAGCCTCTCTTCTCGCGGGGCCCACCTCGAGCCCAGTCCCCTCTTTTGCTTTGCTTAACTTTGCTTGGCTTTGGCTGGAGTGCTTCTTCCGACTCACTCACTCACTTACTCACTGCGCCCTTTGGTTCCTTTTTCACCTCTGTTGGGCTACGGGGGTTCTTACACTGTTGGGGGGCACAGTGTGTTGGCACAATTTGGGGTGGATCGATGCGCGGCGTGGCCTGCAGGTGATGAGCAGGGGAGTTTTCGAGCAACGGTGGAATTTGCTTGCAGGTCATGCAGTGTGCGGATGAGAGTAGAGTGTGGACGTAGATGCGGAGTTTTTTTTATTTGTTTGTTTGTTTTTATTTATTTATAACTGGGTGGGTGCGTGCGCGCATGTTGGTGGTATCTTCATCACCAAGTTTGCCTCTACGAATCGACCCCGTATCAGTTTCGTTTAATTAGTGGTTGTTCGAGAAGACCCGCGGCGCTATGTCATCGTTGGTTCGGTGTTTGGATATCCGCTTCCAGGGCTTGTTTTCTCAGTAATTGTAGGAGATTTTTTTGGTAGTCATCGAGGAATGAGGTTCCTTCAAGGTTCCCGTCGAGCGTAGGACGAGGATTTTGTGTTGGTGTTAGTGAGAGCGGAGTTGGAGTCTTATTGGAGTTCAGAAGGATTGCATGTGAATATGCTGCTGCTCAGGACTTGTACGTGAAGTGGCCGAAACATGTGCTTGAGTCGGTGAGATTTGTATCTACTTGCCGCTGGCGCACCATTCGTCTTTGATTCATTGAAAGCGAATTCTTAGTGCCATCACACACACATGTCTCCGAGACGTATCAAACGATTTTATGCGTTTCCAACAGGCCAAGTCTACAATTCGGGTTTATGACAACCAGTGGAGGCCTTCTAATGCTAATTTAATTACGTGAACTTAGGCAGTATCTCGTCGTGGTTAGCAGCTTAATATCTTCTTAGTCTCATCACGATCATAAAAAAGCGGTAGCGATCATACGTAACTAAGCGTGAAGCTCCATCTCACACTCCAAGCATGCTGCACTATTGGAAACACTTGTTTTAGGATACTTGACTTCTGACCCTACATGCCAGTGTAACCATTGACTGGTCATCAAATAGCTAGCGCACGAACATTGGAAGACTGAATCAATGTCATTGCGTTCATGTTGTGCCTAGCATCTCATGCCTAACATTATTTAAATGCTATCAATTCCTACCAGGTTACCATGTGGGAGGGTTTTCATCAGAAGTTGTTCAAGCACGACAGATAAGAATGTTATGTAAATAGAGTGCCTTATTTGTTTGTGAATAAGGTTGGTGACGTTATTGGCCGTGGCCTTCACAGGTGAGGTGGGTTTCTGTAGCTGTAACGACACAGTTTGGATTATCTCTGGACACTCCAATTATTGCATTGGCTTCCACTTGAGTTCCTCTCGCCTAACTACTCCCCTCCAGAACCGTTCCTACACCCCTCTAGTAACCAGCGATCAGCCATGACCAGATGATTCACTTTCAGACCTTTCCACCTCAATGATACTATGAGTCACAACAATAGGCTTGGCATCAAGGCCATAAACCATCCCCATCCTCATCGTTTCTACTACTGCCGAGTGATTCCTTCCCTAGCAAGCCGGCTTCTTCGGGGGTACAATTCATCGGTGGTATGATCCCCAGGTCGTTCAGTCGGTAACAGCTTCATGCGTGCGGATTCAGAGTTTGAAAGAGAAGGAGAGGAATCACGCTGGCGTCCCCAGGAGGAGAGGGATCGTGGAGACCGAGTTGGTCCCTGAGAACTGACGAGCTGGTCGACAGGGGGAGGCGGCCGAAGGAGCAGTCAGCGGGTAGAGACGAGGAATTCGCAACCGGTGGGATAAGCCAGGAGGGTGGACAACAGCAATTGGATCAGAGGGAGGTCGAAGAGGGCTGGGCCGGTTCGCCTCATGGGGAGCTAGAATTGCAGGAACCATCACTTAGAGAACAAGGAGGCTGGTTGAGAGATAGTGATCAGTTGGGAAACTGGGGTGCAGGCAGACGAGAATCTCAAGCAGGCAGTGCAGGCCGCACGAAGAGGACGGTGGAAGAGAAACACCAGCGTGTGGGGTTGAGCGATTTAGAATCGGCGGCAAGGGACTCAGCTAGGTCGCGATCCTCCTTGGGCCAGGGTTCAACAACGCAGAGAGAAGGATCCGGCGGGCACGCTACCCCCATGAGCAGTGGTGCCCCATGCGGGGCTTGCAAATTTTTGAGAAGGAAATGCGTTCGTGGTTGCATCTTCGCTCCCTACTTCGGAGCGGAGCAAGGTGCAGCCAGGTTTGCAGCTGTTCACAAAATTTTCGGTGCCAGCAATGTAGCGAAGCTCTTGCTACACATCCCAGTGTCAAGGCGGTGCGATGCAGTACTCACTATCAGTTACGAGGCCCAAGCCCGTCTCTCGGATCCCGTTTACGGTTGTGTGGCCACCATCTTCGCCCTTCAACAACAGGTTTATGATTGCGCCCATAATCTTAGTCCGGTTTATTGTGTTTCAAAATATTGGCGCCGCGTTGGGGCCTAGTCGGAGGTGTGCTGTCGTGAAAGACGTCGACACTGTGGGCTTCTAAGACGCGGCATCGCTTCTTGGTCGAAAGAGGGAACTGCCAGGGCCCCACGATTTAGAATCGAGCGGTTGTGATTTCGGTCTAATGTCACTGGACACGCAGAGTGTTTGGGAGATTACTTTGGATGCATGTGTATGAGCTACCTAGACACGATTAGTGATAATGAACCACGTAACTTTCAACGCCAAACCTCTTTTTAATCGTCGGAGGCAGTCGCTCAAAGCTGACCTCATGCAGTCGACTATCGGTTACTCAAACGATGTAGGTTCCATGAGACGTCTCTCGCCTAAATTTGCGATGAAACTTGCGGAGAATTTGGCACCTTTGAAGTAAAACAGTCTTCTCCGTAATGCTTAATAACTTCCCATATTTCTTGAAACCATCCTCATGTTGGTGACTAGAAGTATGCCGGACACTTATTGAGGTTGGGGCTTCTCTTCAGTCTTTGGTATTTATTTTTTTGGTCGAAACTGCTCTAGCAGCCTTTTCTAAATCGTCTTCTTTGAGCAGATAGCGCGAAAAGCATTTGAACAATATTGATACCTTGAGTACGTTTTCCATGATGAATCATGTTGCTGTTAGTTGCCTACCTGAAACTTCCGCTTACAATTTGTGTAGCATTTTCTGTGCTACAGACCCTCATTGAGAAAGATTTGCCTTAGGTTTCGGTTTTCATTGAAGTGGATAACCGAAATCACACTGGTGTCTTTTTTTTGTGCTTATTGATAGAAGTGCCGTCCTTGGGTTATTTTCCTGGAGTCATTCCTTATGTTCAGAAGCCAGTGGAGAGGTCGGCTCTAACGAGTCTCATAAAACGCCTCTAGACTTAAAAGCGGCAGCATTGCTGTTGCTCGACAAAGCAATGCTCTTGCAGCGTTTCAACGTCAATTAGAGCATCTTTTTTAAATATTGCTCAAAAGACTGTTTGATCTGAAAGCCGTTCAGGTGGGGCCATACCACTCCTGATACTCGTTTTCAGGTCTAGATTGACTCGTGGGATATGTCCATGACGTTTCAGACGCTGACCCAGGAACGTATAGAACTATAAGATACTGACTACGAATCTGATTTCAGTTCTACAATTCGTATAGATCTGCATGGGTGTACGGTCCTAACAATATAATCCTGTGAACCCTGGATGAAGTTGGATTTTGGGGAATCCACTGGTAGGTGTACTCTTTCTCAAGTTTCAAATCTGCGGCAGACCGGGGTTGTTTGCACTATCACAACTCATCAACGAAGATTTTATTTGTAGATATGCATTCTTTTGTCAGCGACCTCCTAGGGTAGTTTTTGGTAGTGGATTAGTTCGGAACAGTTCACTTAGTGCATGTTGATCAACAAGTCCACAGCCTAATAGTGAGCCTTCTAAAATGGTGTTGGAACTTTGCTTCTCGAGGTCGAGAAACAGGTCCTGTCCAAGCAGCGATCTGAATGTAAGCTAACATATATAATGCTAGTTCGTGAGTATTGATTCGATGAAGTTTGCCACGCGTGCAGGTAGCAAGTTTACAAGCGGAGCTAGCGATGGTGCAAGCTCAACTCGTCAACAGACAAGCGGTGGCACACCAAATTCACCAGCACCAACAGCAACATCACCAGCACCATCATCACTTGCAACAACACGAGCAGATCGGCACCATTTCTCCTGGACATGTAGTACCCTCGTCGGCGTATATGCAGCAACAAGAACACGCCCAGATGTCGCCCTCCGACATCTCCATGTCGATGCCGAGCGGGTCGGGATCTCATGGCCCGGGTTCCTATAACTCTCGAGTCAAAGAAGAAGGTAACAGCTTCCTCGGAATGCAGCATTACGCTGACTTGGGAATGGGGTCCAGCAGCCTCGAACCAATGCCTGAAAATCAACACAGCCTGCTCAGCAATCTACATAAGGCGCGCGGGAGCGGCGAGAACATGGAGCAGACTGATCATGAAGGCGAGCTTCAAGCTCTCGCTTCACTCCTTCGACGAAAATAGATCCAAAAATTGCAAGCTAATTTGCAAAACCTGTCTGGATGCATTTTCACCCGCATCCATTCCAGGCTCATCCCCGGAAAACGAAGTCAAGATTCCATTCGGTACTACTAGTTGCATTAACTCCTCAGCACAATCGGCCTTAGTTGTTTATCAGGTTACATGAGAAACTTCATTTTGGGAAATATGAAGTGTCCAGTGCAGCAGCGCAATCTTTGGTACGAGGGATCGACTGGAAGTAGGCGCTGAAGTAATGGATACTTAACATGTGACCTTTTTCAGTCGATTACATGGTGCAACAGCGAGCATGGATCAGAAGGTTTTAATCCAGGTATGACCAGCCGCAGAAAAATGTGAGAACCTTAGTGCAGCATTATCCAGTTAGTCCATCCAAAAGCATCATAAAAAAGTAGGTTGGTAGATTTACCAGTGCAGGTTTACGAGAGGCACCCGTAGTAGCTACGTCTAGTTGCATGCACGAGGTAGAATTCATTCCACCTGGTGAGAATCAGATAGAGGTACTGAGGGAAGGAAATATTCCTTGTAGATCACAGTAGAGGGTAAACGGAGTGAAAGATCCACCTGACTCAGTGATCGTCGATCGATCCACAAGTTACACGGTAGTCACTAGGAGTCACGCGTGAGTGACTACTGGCAGGCGAGTGTGACCTGCCAGCACTATGGATTTTATCTTCTTAGATAATAGTTCTTTTAAGTTTCCATGAGGAAATTTACTAGATCAGAAGAAGGAAAAAAAATAAAAATACGATATGTCGGTGGGTGCCTGTTGGATACTTCGCTGCTTGTTTTCCCAACACTACTTTTAATCTTAGAGTTAGGTTGGTTCATCCAAACAGTGCACAATTTGATGGTCTTCTGCTAATCATCTTTGTGGTTCTGGGACGTTTCAACAATTCGCTTGGTTAGAAACCCATTGCTGTCTTCTTTTTGTCAATGTGTTAGTGTGTTGAACACCTACCAACAAAACCATCGAATGGAATCGTAAACATTGCTTTTAGTTGCGAGTGAAATATTTGTGGATCCCATATTTTGTTGGATTTTCATTTTCAGATAACAGTTTCATACGTTATTGTAGGGTTTTCCGAGTATTTTATAATGAAATTTAAGGGGCACTTAGATTCAACCTTGGTTTCTGCGCTTGAGGGCATTCGATTTCTCATAATTTCCAGAAACATGTGTTGAATTTCTGCCAGGATCTAGATTCAGTATTTATTCTGCTGCGGACTAGTGGACATTTCGAAGTGTGACTAAATATCATGCTCTCTGCGTGTACAGCGTTTATGTTTGCACAAGTACACATACGGACCAATGCAAGGAGGTGCAGGGTGGCTTTGCTAGGTCTTTTGAGAACAATGTACAAATGACGGTACAGTCGATCTGATTGTGAGAGATAATGTTTTTTTAGTAATATCTAGCTAGGACAGCAACTATATATATATATATGTATATACACATATACACGCGGTAAGAACCCGTTTCTTGTGGACTTGCTCACAAACTATGAAGTGGTAGCACTTTGCCAATCTGGTGGTTGCAACAGAGATGGAGTCAACTACATGGATATAAGTCTGCTATTAAATAAAAATTTTGGCAGCAATAAAGATGGTGCAGTAAAAGGTTTATATTTACTTCAAAATTTTCTGCTTTTACAATACTAGATATCACAGTGTGGATGTTAGATGCTGCTCAGCTCCAGCATTGGAAACCTCACCTGTGAATCGTACGAGCTTTAGTCCACGCTGAACTCGGAGGAGTTATATGAGTGATCCTGGTGTTGCTTCTCAAGTGAAAGGCCACACACTCTGTTGATCAATGTTGTGGAACTTATCAGCTTTTAGACCAAACTCGTTAGATTACGAGATGCCGCTTCCACGGATTTTGAGGACCGTCTTCCACGACTGATCAATAAATCAATCCTCAGTACTGAAAGGGGCATCATAACATCTTACATATCAAGCTTCAATCCACACGAGGCTTAGTGCTCAAGAGGGATAGTTTGTACATTAGCAGTTGTCAATTCCTTTATTGGTACACACCAATTCAGTGTGGAGCAAAATGTGAACCCTGCAGTCTGATTGATCGGGTCATTTCGCTTAACGCACGAACGGTAATTACGTGCTTGGATGAAATGAACCAGATTAGATCTGGTAATGATGTACAACGTAAGAACTTGGCGCGTAAGGTGAGAATCAGTCTCCCTTCTAGAACTTTGCCCAGTTCTTGACACAAGGTACACGTATTCCAGGACACGGCTCTGACGGTACATTATATTTTCAGAGAAAGGATTCGAGCACTTTTCATTACTGTGAGTACTCACCGATGTACGCACAAAGATGCTTAGAGCACACATAATCAGTCATGTTCATGAGCAAGGGCAAGGATTGTTGTTTTCTACCGCGACGAAATCTTTCATAATTCATCGCCATGTCTATTGACATGTCATGTATGCTCCCGGAGTCCCAGGGATGTGTCTCCTGGGTTTGCCGGGTACGCCAGGAACGAGCCCGAATTCCAAGCCGAAGCAGGTGCAGGGCACTCAGAAAACTGTTTTTTCAAGGCTGTAAAGAGGTACAATCAGTACCAGCATTACATAAATGATCTAGACTAGTTCCTCGCTGCTCTGCTTTGTTCCAGCTGATCATGTACCTGTACGTCACATTCGCCTCAGGAATGTCTCTTCAAGTTTACTTTGTTATGGCTCATCATACCATATACCACCCACAGTGAAAAAAGAAAATTGAAAATTCTTATGCATTTCACAGTCCGAAGCAAATCTCGTGACGAGAAAGTGACGTTGGAGATAAAGCAAAGAGAATCATTGAGAAGATATTTGATCAGACATCCTGTTTCACACTTTGCTTACGGAAGGGCAGTTTTTCACTGTCCCAGATAAAATGGTGACCTCGCACTGACCTCAAACATGCCAACGCCGGCTTGAAATCCAGATTGGCACCTTGCCAATTCTCTTTTGTCTAATCGATTTGGTCTTACTCGAAAAGAGAAAAAAAAGTACACAGGTCAACAGCGACGCTCATCACCAGTTTTAGCTTTAGAGTGGGCCCAGTGCGACTGCAATTGCCACCTTGCATCCACTAAAGATGGCCGCTGATTAAGTGCAGATGCACACAATTGTTTTTCTTTTTTTCCTCCAAGCCAACCAAAGCCAGCTGATAAGCCTAAAAGCGCGGATCCTTGGGCCCAACCAGAGCAACATTTGCAACACATTCTCGATCAGGACGGATCCATGAAAGTAGGAGGAGAAGCATTCTTAATCGGATCACCAGGACCCCATCAATTCGCTATAAGCAGCTTGGGACACCATAGCATGTGGGGGCCGCTTGACTGGGTCATCTAGTAACCTCGCAACGTTATAAAACCACAATACATATTTCTCTACGTCTGATACCAAGCTTCCTGCACAACAAACCCTCATAATGCACTAATAGTAGAGCGCACGCAGCCTTTTCCACCGCAAATACCTGTTCCAACTTGGACTCTGAAATGTAGGATTTGTTAAAGGCCCCAGGGTTTTCTTTTTCTTTTTTTTTCTTTTTTTTTTTTTTTTTTCCCAACGAAAAGGCGTACTCGTGTTGCAAAAGAGCAGCGTTGTGGGCTACTGATTCATAGGTACTTGGTCATAATTTAGCAGCAGCAGTAGCTCCACACAGCTCGATTCACGACAAACCACTCCAGTGACCTCGGTAATGACGGCCATCTGCAGTAGAAACAGAATGTGGCACGGTGGGTGCTCCAGGTATCCGACCAAAGTACCCTCACCTTCTTGAGAACGGAGCCTGGCTCCCATTCTCAATCATTTGCGGCACCCAAACTGTCCAGATAATGGGATAAGGAAAACGCAAAAAAGGAACTTGCGAGGAAGGGGGGAGAGAAGAAGGAACTTCCCACCCCAGTGATCATCTGCACACATTTTTGCACTCTGCAACACAACTGCGGGAACAAAATCCAGCATGCGATACTCATACTTGCCCAGTTACAAAACTCGCAAGCAGCAGCAGCAGCAGGAACAACAACATCAACAACAATAACAACAGACTTATTGTATGATCTCATCGACTTGCACAGTCAATCGGTGTGCTTGTGTCTGCTTGCTCACTTGCACAGTTTTCGAATTCCATGAGCTCTATCGTACTTCGTTACAATGTCATTACCAAGGACTCTTTGCCAAACCTTTGCCAAACCTTTGCCAATGGAGGCGTGCCCTCCTTCTAGAGTTGGCGATTGGTGACCTGCAGCAGCAAAAGGAGGATTCTGTGCCGTTGTGTCCGAATCATGAGAGCATCGATTGGATGTGTCCATGAGGGGGTCTAATTCGGGCTCTCCATTTGGGCATTCTAGCAGCCAAATCTCTCGTCTTTTGGCGAGTTCTGTGGAGCTTTCAGACTCCAGAAAAAAATAAAACTCAAATTTGCCTCGCCTTGACCAATTCATTGTTTGTGGTGATGCTTCCACCGCACAAGTGTTGACAAAGCGTTGCACATTTTAAAATTATCCCAAGGTGGAAAAGTCTGCGGTATTTTCTTCATGTCTTATTATCGGAATTAAATCGATGGAACGATTCCATGATTCTCTTTTAAAAGACTGATTTGCCCTGATGGAACTGTAAATTTAGCTAGATAACATGTGTTTGTTTGTCTTTAATTCTCCCCTTTTCTCTCACTCTATCTGTCGATATATATATAATTCATTGCTTTTATTATAAAATTATTGATGATAGCATATGTTATTAGATTTTGAGCTTTTTGACTGAATAAGTTCTTTGTGGAGGTTGCATGATGTGTGAATTATGAAAGGAACATGATTACATAATAATAATAATAATAATAATCATTAATGTAAAGAGCATACACGAAGTTGCATTGGTGGTATCAACTTTTTATTGTTACTTTGCAATTTGTGTGTTGAAAACTGAAGTTGCAGTTCGGTGCTTGTTTGTTTCATGTCCTGTTGTTACTAGTATTATTGCTTTTATTGTTTTCCAATGGAAGCATAACATGTGAATGTTGTTCTTCAAGGACGTCCGTTACCCAATCTTTCAGAAAAATAATATTGTGTTTTTCACTAAAAATGATTATTGTATCGTGTTTCTTTCTTATTTTTTTATCATATGAAGTGCATGTCCATCAATTAATCCATAAACATATGTTATATTATTTAATAAAAATGTTTATTTTTGGGTTCTACTTGGTGTTTGCTCAATTTGACAACATTGTTATTTAGATATGGGAATGAATTTTCTAACGTGACATGTGAGAAAAAGTCATCATATGTGACTTCTTTCCTTAGTAATTTAACAGTATTAACCTCACAAGTTTTACTTTGTTAGTTTTATATTTTGTAAAACTTGCTTAAAATGTAAATTTAAGCCTCAAGTTTTACAAACATATATATACTTAGATATTACTTTAATATTAACCTATATCTTTATAAATTTTATTCAGTATATATGTGTAAGTATATATATATATATATATATATATATAATTCAAATAAGATGTGAAATGAAAATAAAAAGAAAAAAAATGATTATGAGCAAACTTAGTCATATTAGAAAAAAATGTGATAAAATTATAAATAGATGTATACGTATGAATACATAATTTTGACTTCAAAAAATTCATCTTTTATTATTTTTTAACTTGTGTTTCTTATAATGATTTATTTATATAAATTTTTTTTTTATTACAAACAACAACTATAAGGGTTTCTTAGTATATGTATATTTATACATTTATTTATTTATTTATTTGTTGTTGTTCTCTCTACTATTATCAAAAATTATAAGTAAAAAAGCGAGCTACAATTTTTTGAAGAA